CTTTCTTTAGTCACGGCACCCTTTGGAAATTTTTACAAATTTGTGGCACCCTACAAAATTAATTTGGTCACAATATTTGAATTTCTAACTTCGATATGATAATTTGAAAAGTATAGATATTTGGTACAACAGAGAAGAACTGCAGAATATAATGTCATACAGATATTTTTAATATTATTAAAAAATGTTGTCCATCAGTGGTGGCAATCAGTAGGCTAATTTGTAATGAAGAGACCAATTTATATGGCAGATTTTAATGTAGGCTTTTATTCATATGTAAACATTGTGAGATAGTTATAATGGTAATTAAACAGTTTTGCTCACTCAGTGTATTTTTGTAGGGCTATTAAGAGATTTTTATTTTTTACCAATTATCCAAATAATGTTTAATCTTAGAAAGCTATTATTATCAGAGGACACATGAGCATAACGGTTAGCAGATCAATGAATGAGAGGGCAGCGTTACCAGAGTTGCCAATTTACCACACCATGTTACAACACAGTAGGGCTATTGCAGACAGAAACAATACTGTACTACATCCATGTTTCCTGTCAGCTTGATTTTTGAGTGGACTTTGCTGTTCCGATGAGCATGAACGGTGTATGAATGGAGCAGTCACATGGGCCGCGAGCAACTGAGCGGAGCACACAGAGCGGGATAATACCATACAGTCTATGGATAATACACACACGCATAGAGTGGGATAACACACACACACACAAGTGAATCCTGAGCGGTGAACTCATTTTCGGCAGCCGGAATTTCAGTGCATCTCTAATTATTGGCGGCATTAGAAATGGATATTATATAATAGCTGCTTTTTTGAACATTTTAGCAATTTAAAAATCAAAACAAAATGATTTTTTACACGGCACCCCTGCTCTCGACAGACCCCGGTTGGGAAACACTGTTCTAAATAATGCCGCGAGTGGGGCTTGAGGAAGTGACGTTGTCTGCGTCTGCGCCCCTGAAGCGACACACAGGAAACCGAAATACTTCAAAATAATAATAATAACGAGACGAAATAACGTTATAACATTTCGTTTCGTCTCGTTTTGGTCAACGAAAATGAAAAGACATTTTAGCATAGTTTTTATTTTGTAAGCCACATTTTGTCTCGTTT